CCGTTACGTTTTTTTTCAAAATTTAAGAGCGTCAAGCTATTGAGCCTAGTAAAAACTTACGATCGGGTAAAACCGTCGCCCATTGTTAAAACTTAGTATGTTCGGTTGAAATATTCGTTTTCAAAAACATAACAACCCTCTAGGCGTGATAAATTTTTTTTTCGAGTTTTGTGTGGGTCCATTATTGAAAATGTCAAGGTAATATCTCATGCAGTCAGATTTAATGCCCCTTGATGGATCGTTACCACAGATCACGTGAAACTCTTGACCTGGTCTTGTAAAATAATCTTATTTTGCAGCCCTGTTGTATATAATTTATTATCAATTATTTTAACTGTCACCTGATAAGAACAGCGGAAAGAGCTACCAGTGCAAGCAATAGTGCTATTCCCAGAACAATCGGTGCTGCTAGATTCTTCGAATCATTATCTTCGGAATAGTCGCTGTATGAGTTTGCGATTCGTAATATTAGCTGCAATAATGTAATATAACTTTACATAGATCACGTCAACAGGGTCTTTAACTTTCTTAAGAAATATACTCAAAAGTTTACATGCTATGTTGGCAAAACCTAAAAATAATAAGTTGTTTTTGGGGTTTATATCTGAGGTAGTATTCGCTAGCTGATTATTTTTTTTACACCACTGACCACATGCTTAAAACGCGAGTAGAATCATTTCTCAACTTTACAGGCCTGTAGTGGTAGCGTCGATCTGATACCATTAACATCAAACTGAAATTTGAAAGTTGGGTCGAGCCATCCCTTTTGTAACTTTAAATTCCACTTCACTGTTTGAAGCATGATCCATATAGTAGGAGTACAGTCTGCAACCAGTGGTGCAACAATGATTGAAATCCTTAAAATCCGACACGAATGAATAACAAAACAAGAACCGGAATTCATGAAACAATAGTCGGTCCCTATAAAGAAAACAAAACAGGTTCAGGGATATTTCTATTAAAGCAAACTGCTAATCGAAGCTTCTATCACATTTGTATTGGAGATGTATCGATACCACTGTTGTCGCCGATATTCCATTAATATGTAATCATTACCTCAAGTGTGCAGGGCAGACGGGTTAAAACAAATAATGTTAAAATTATTCATAGTGCACATTATTTCAGCTTGAAAAAGGAGATATTCCAGAACATGAAAACTTGATATTTGAGATCGAGATGCATTGTGCACAGACACTAGTAATCTTGGTGTACAATCAGAAAACTTATTGGGTTTGGCTACCATGGGTGGTAAAATAAATAAATGTTTAGCCTATTTATTCTATTAAACTGATACATTGAGTTGCGTGCGCAGGATTTTGTGCCAATATAACGTATTTCGTAGTTTACACATTTGAAAATCCACTAATATTCGATTGATATATTTTTCCATAATTACCGTGTAATATTAAAAATATCAACATAAAAATTTGTCTGCGAAACTAGTCGAATTAGTTGAGCTAGTTTGGCTGATAAAAAGCTAAAATAGATCAGAATGCCGTTACCGTATCTACCCGAGAGAGTGAGGACGAGCATGGCTCAGATATAACAAGACAAATACCGCGAATATGATTCCTCCACGCAAAAATCATTTCACTTTCCGCAACTTATTGGACACGTAGTGGACATAACGATCGTTTCAATATTATGTTGTTGTTGTTCTTGTTCTTTGACACGTTTTTAAAAAGTCGCTTTTCTCTTCGAATACTGGACCAATTGCTTTGAAATTTTCAGTGGTTGAAGATTAATTTTTTCGCTAAAAGGCTATTACTTTTGTTTATTCTTAAATTTTATATGAATCCTATGAGATATGATATTTCATACAAAATTTCGCGGTATTTATTTTTACTCATGGGAACACTGTTTTACACTTATTTCAAGCGGTTTCGCGATCGATTGTCTTGCTCAGTACTACAGCTACTGTAGGTCGGTACTGGTAAGTTGCCATACCGGTGCCGTAACGCAGTGAAATTGACTTATTCCTTCCGCGGTATTACTAATGCTGCAATGCAAGTTTTATAGCCTATCGTATGCGGAACGGAATATCAGACCTACAGGTTCGGTACCGGTACTGGTAGCTCAGTACGTAAGTACGATACTGGTACTGGTGCCGGTACCGGTGTCTTACCACAATGAAATTACCGTAACTTATTCTTTCACGGTCCTACCAGTGCAGTAATGCAAGCGTTGTAGCACTTGTAGCCTACTATATTTGTTTATTTTGATGAGAGTCTACTGGAAACAACATAAATTTGAAAGGGAAGAATTGTTCTGTGATCAATTATCTGTCCTAAAGTGTAAATAACATAAAATTTGCAAGGGAACAACTGTTCTGTGATCAATTACCGTATATGGCCTACAGTGTACAGGTAAGATGCTGGCTGACTGCTAACCGGTACTGGTAGCTCAGTACGTAAGTACGGTACTGGTACTGGTGCCGGTACCGGTGTCTTACCACAATGAAATTACCGTAACTTATTCTTTCACGGTCCTACCAGTGCAGTGATGCAAGCGTTGTAGCACTTGTAGCCTACTATATTTGTTTATTTTGATGAGAGTCTACTGGAAACAACATAAAATTTGAAAGGGAAGAATTGTTCTGTGATCAATTATCTGTCCTAAAGTGTAAACAACATAAAATTTGCAAGGGAACAACTGTTCTGTGATCAATTACCGTATATGGCCTACAGTGTACAGGTAAGATGCTGCCTGACTGCTAACTCAGTACCGCTTGACACGTTTTTAAAAAGTCGCTTTTCTCTTCGAATACTGGACCAATTGCTTTGAAATTTTTAGTGGTTAAAGATAAAAATTTTCTCCAGAAGGCTATTACTTCTTTTTTCGCTATGACGTCATCAAAATTATGTGACTCTACGTGTCCATATATTTGAGCATAGCTCTCTTGTTTTTTAAAACATGATGGATCAGATTTCCTAGAGAGTGTTATTAGCCAATACCATTTCATAAAATCGACTAATTGATTGCAATATGTTCCGCATTTTTTTCTACCTGGCATTCGGTATAGACTATAGAAAGTACAATCAAAACTAGAGTGACTCAGACCAGTACTATTGAAAACAATATTCTGAAACAACTACCGTATTACAGACCTTAAAAGAAATGACAATGTATTTTCGTAATCATATTTAAATGTGAAGGAAACATAGGACCATTCGTAGAGACGCTAATCGGTATCGTGTACCATGTTATGCGAACCATAAAGTGCCTAGATCAGGTTTTTATTTATACATAAAGCGCAACCGGTACTGGTCTTCGGTTCAGGCAATAAAGTATAGAACACTACCTGATCCATACATATGCGCATGAGTTTATAAGGTTGATTTTCGAAAATAAAAAGTATTCAAAGCGCCCCATGGTCCGTATAATTCGATAATTAGGTTTATTTTTTATTTTTGGTTTGCCACAATCAGATAATATTTTATAATACGCCTTTGATAAAATATACTCCATACCTGCAATAACGAGTTTTGCCGTGCGATCCCCGTTACTTCTTATCATTTTGATGCTCTGTAGGCGCATTATCAGGACTCTATCATCATCAGGTTGTGGTAATTTCCATCTTTTGCAGAATCCACTTAGCGCATCTTCTTGGTAGCCGAATTGACCTGTCAACTCATCTATGGTAACTTCTTCGCACGATGCGGCGTTTGCTATGACAAGCCCTTTAGGAATAATAATAGTTTCGTGTTATTCGCTATTTCTGCTTTACAAGATTAGAAAACCGGAATGTTGTCCCTGGTCTCAAGCATTTTATTGATATTCAAAAAATGTATTCAGGCGAATTCAATATTTTGACACCTCCAAAGTCCACAAAACACCTAATTATGACTGTTTCAAACGTTTGAACTTCGGGCAAAGTTTGGTTTTTCAAGGGCGAAATTCACAGAGTCTTGTTCGAAAAAGCCACATTGAGAAAAGTATCAAATTTTTGTTGGCTGACATTGCTGAGCAGAAGACGAAAAAAAAACATTATCATTATTTCAACAATTCATAGTTTCGATATTTTAAATAAATCAAAATTTTGTATGTTGTTGTAAAACTTTCTCTAAGAGTAGGGGGCCGCTTAAAACAGTTTGACGGGGCGCATCCGTCCACTTTACTTTGAACGCCACAAACACATATAGAATCATTCAAAGGGAATTTTAGCGGATTTGTTATAATCAGGGGCAAAATAAGCCAGGAACCCTCTACACACGAACCGTGATTTGAACATACATAAGCCAAGGCTTTTGTTTATCAAAAGTAAGCTTGCGGGCCACGACCAAACTGGATGAATCATTGATATAGGGTCGAGCAAACAATGGTTCGCTAAGAACTGGATATAATATTAGCATCCAACACCCTGTACTAAGCTACTATCAGAATTTTTTTTTTCTTATATTCGCGCTTTACTCACCACAAATTAATATGAATACAGCAACCAACTTCATAACTCCTTTGTTCCTCCTTGTGCTTTGCTAAAATATTGCATCAAAACCTCCTGCCTACTGGCCTGTATGTCGACCAGTAATTTCGCTATGTAAAATACATACAACGAGCTACCTACAATGCGTTCAATACCTTGTGTTGTTTTAATCTCATATGATTATTTCACCACGAATTGTCCCCTTAAAAAAACAATCTGTGTCAGGGCATGACCGCAATCCAAAATGCCGTCATGTGTTACACGTAATAATTATCCAATATCTACGTGAGCCAGTAATAACGTTATTTAAATACATTGAAATTGTTGAGATTTTTACTGCCGAACTGGTGGTGGTCCTTGAACTGTTTTCAACGCACTAAGTCCATTTCAGGAAGGAATATAAATTATGACAAGGATTCATTTGTGGAAACTCCAATTTGACCGACAGATCCTTGCGCGGACTGGTTTGCTTTATACATAATATCTTTGACATTGTTTTGATGGACCATTCAGTATCATTTCGAATATAAATATACAATACAAAAGTGATAGTGCAACATCTTTCACAATTATTTATTCGAAAGATCAATAATGAAACAAAAGTTATAGAAAGAGTAGGGCATAAACGTTTTAGTTGAGATAGTTTTGAATACAGAATAACTTAAGAAATTAAAAACATATAAAGAAACTTATAAAGGAAAGGCAAAGCAAATTCTCTGCGCCATTACTTTCTACTGATGACAATGAAAAAGAATTACTGATGTTCGCTTAACTGTTGTTGACATATTCAGTCAGTTTATTAAAGACTGATAACTGGGGCTGGGCATTTCAAAGCGAATATTCTTGTCGAATGGTAAGTTATTCGAATCGGTAGAGACGGGAATATTGAATCACGCCATCTTGTTTTTTGTTTGCCCTCCCTCACATGATTTAAATTTATTCATGAAAAATTTTCAAAATGCAATTGTTACTGTGTGTGAACACTCAGCAAACTGTCTGAGTGATAGAAATGTGTCTGAACGATCCATTACAATAACACAGTCAATACAACTACATATTTCCCAAGTTTTCGAGATTCGATTCAAAAGAAATATTCGATACGAAATCCTCAAGTAATCAAAATGCTATCCCCACTGATAACAGATTGCAATCTGTGATCTGACTCACAAACCCTTCCACATTGTGAGAACGGTATGAGGCTTGGTTTTCTTTGTACGTAATATCTTGAACTCTGCTTTTTTTAAATATAAATATGCTGTACTAAAGTGATAGTACAGATAACCATATTTAATTTGTGCGCTTTTTTATTGGCACAAGTATTTATTAGGTAGATCGGTAAGAAAAAAAATATACAGCAAGAGTTTCTTGAGATAACTTAGAAAATCGAAATTGCCAAGAGATAAGAAAGAAATGCCATCCAATTAGACATATAAATCCCGCCATATTTTACTTCTATGTGTTGCAATGTAATGAATGCAATGAAACCAATTGCCGTACTTGTATAGAACCACTAATATTCCACCAACATAACAAGTGAAAGTAATGATAGGTTAATACTTAACTAATGGCGAACGGCGGTCTCTCATCCTGTTACCAGATCACGTCGGGTATGGAATTAGTTAGCCAGTTATTTGTTTTCAGGTGCGTGGACTTGATTTACAGAGTTTAAATAAATGTTTTCGGCTATGTATTTGCTGTTTTTGGCAACATCAATACTACAACATTGAAACGCCAACAAGTTTTTCATAAATCAAATTTGAAACAGCACACATTGATTTTTTATTATTATGTTTTATATGACCAGCGTATCATATGCCGGGTTTACCACATGTTTTGCTAATGTACTATAAGCATCCAGTGGGGTTGAATACACTCCTTCAATTTGCACGAAACGAGTATCAGTTGTGTTTACAGTGAGTTGATCTTCGTTCTGTGAGGTGTTGGCTGGCTGTGACTGTTCTCTGTCGGTTTGAGCTTGACGACACCTGTTAAACATGGATCGCTGTTTAGAAAAAAATGTTGAGGATGGGAAATGTCAGTTAAAAATTAACCAGGTCCCGTCGGTTAGTATTTAATAGATATGCGTAATTTACTGAGCAAAATGTAACCCAAAAAAAGTGTATTATTATATCTTATGGAGCCATTTAACCACATCTTGAAATTTAGTTGATAGGTGTCGCTGGCACAAGGACTCCGAGTCTTTCCGACCAATAGTCGTCTATTACTGTGGATTATAGCTACGACGTTTCTATTGTTTATTTTCACGCCTTCAAAGTTTGTGTTTGATAATTTACTTTGATCTATTCACGATGGAAATAAATGGATGAATGTAACGTGAGATATAATTTAAATTGAAACAGGTTGCCACCCCTTACCGAGGATCTTCAGGCGTAGAGTCGGTTCTACGTTGGACAGTCTGTCATTTTATTTATATTATTTGTGCCCGTTTCTGTCTTATGTTTATCAATACAAATTCCTTATTGCCTAATTTTTAGTAGTAGTAGTAACACAAGCTCACCATATTGATAAAACAATGACGAGTGTGATGATCGCTGTTCCGAGCGATGCAGTAAGTATGATTTCAAGTAGTGTTAGTGAAGTTGCTGATGGTTGATTGGAGTGCACTGTTGTTGGCTGAATAGCTGCAAAAATAAATGTGAACATTGCAAATATAAGCGCGTGAAAAATTTTGAATCATGCCGAAATTCTTTAATAAGACAGGGCGTGCAACCTGCGGGCCAAAGGTGGACCACAAAAAAACATTGTGCAGCACGCGGAGAAGTGCCAGTTTTGAACGATGTGCAAACCTGCAAAACGAGTAGCAATTTAGTTTAATCTAGTTAGTGCGTGTAATTCCAATCCCTTTGCGTTGCAAAGCCTATACTTGATCCCAACTTATTATCTATGGCCATGACGTTGCAATGCCCCAACGAACAACGCATATCATAAGATCAATAACCAAAATTGTTGTGCTTGCCACCACTAGAAAGCCTATATGTTAAATATAAGTGCGGTCCGCGGCTTCATCCAGTTATTTGTATCTGCGCCCTCCTTTATTACAGGTTGCACAACCCTGCTTAAAGGATGTAAATTTACTAAACTACGATTTTGGATGCTACAAGATAACCTGGTGGTTTTTCCGCGATGCAACTAACAACTGTTTACATTTCTGCCATAACTCACAATCTCAACATTTCGACATATTTATTGATTTACACATATTCCATATGTCATTATGTTAAAATAATATTTCAGGGAAAACCAAATGCTACCAGTTGATATTTGACTAACTTACTTGTTCGTGGTTTTTCAAATTCCATGAAGGTATATTGAAGTTTAAAATATTTAGTGGTGCTCGTTGTGCGTCCCCGCGCTCGACCAAAATCGAATTCCGGAAACTCTTTGAAATTTCCAATTATCCGGTGTTGGGTTACGCAATTGTCCAACTCCTCGGATTTCGTAATTCGATTTTCCGTTGTTGATTTTGATTGAAATATGAAACAAGTGTCTGGTTCTGAGTGACATATATTTTGACCTGAACGACATAAAAACATTAAAACTTCGATATCACATGATATGAGAAATTTTTGGCGCTCCAGAGGTGTATGTACCAAGATGGAGGTAACTTATTTTGTTCGCCTACTTTACATCAAGTTGTATAAAGAGACTCGGAATCGGAATAAAATTATGACCTAACCTGGTATACTACGGAATTACCGAAATTTGCGAATCTAATTTGCATTAACAGGCGAGTAAAATGGAAGTAAATTACTATAATAAAATTATGGCTCATTTGCCTAATGTAGTTCAAAATAGTGAATATTTGAAGTTGGTCACTATATTCTGTGGAATTTATAATATTTAAATACCATCATGCATCTGATTACAATTGGAAGTGGAAGAACCTGCCAGGATATTTGTATTATGCACATTCACTCGAAGATTTCGTTTCTTTATTTGTTTATAGACGGGCCTGACTGGAATCATAATGGCTTACGGCGAGGAAATTGATAAAGCAAAACATGAAATAGATTTCAATTGTCGCAGAACCTTATAATCTTAATTCTGGGGGGATTTAACTTTTGGAATATTAGGAAATGACTGATAAACTTTTCTTTCGACGATTAAAAAAATTCATTCCGACCATTCATCGTTTCCTTGGTTAATTATACTAAAAACTATAGTCGAGAAAAACAATAAAAACCTTAGTTCACCTAATATAGTGATGTCCCTTCTACAATAATCTGTTTCGCATTCGACGCAATATCCTTTAATTTGCATTTTTTCGACTTTAATCAACAAAGCATGAGTGTTCAGTGAGTAATTGTGAGGTAGTTGTAATCTGCATCCCGGCGCCATGAATGCTATCATGCTGGACTCAACTGTTCCACTTCCCGAACTGAGGATCAGGTTTTCAGCCATGTTGTATTCTTAAGAAGAATTGTATTTACATTTTTACCCTGGAATGGAAAGCCGATAAGACTGCTAAGTTATATGGTGAACCAAGGCCTCTAATCCAAGGCATTATTCTAATTGAGTCTTGCTGCACGCTAACACAAATGTAGGATGCCCATAAAATCTCTTTACAATTTCAATTTTGTTATAATATCAGTTTTCAATATACTTTAACCAGGTTTGTTGTTTTTTAATCAGTTATTCTCAGCAAGTATGTTTCTTCATTTATTACATCTCCGATGGCCAAAACAATATACGGTATCGATAAATTACCTTTATATAAAACAATCAAATAGAATAGGCGTCTTTATTTTTGATACACAATTATTGCATTATTTGGATAAAGAAAAGAAAGATAGTTAGTCTCGTGTGAACCCGACTGATACTTAGAGATTGCTGTGTCTGGCCAACGAAGCCCAAAATGGAGAAAACCCTCGGTTCGGGGTTGAATTACAAATGTAGTTTTTAAATTAACCCAGAGAACATAGTATCAAGATTATTCGTTTTCAAAAGTAGGATTATACTCAGTCTTGTCTTTGTAGTACTCTTTATGCTTCTACATTTTAATTTTTGAGAACTCTAAAGTGTTGGAGACTATATTACTCACCTAAACAAGGGTTAGATGAAGCATGATGGTTCATTGCTTTTGTTGATACAGCGGATAATAATCCTACAATAAAAAAGATCCAAAATAATATAACTGGAAAACAGTTTTTTTTAATTTGAATGGTATTTGAATTAATCATATCTCAACGTTGTTTCATAAGCTAAATATGATAAATGAATAATAGTGCGTTTACTTATTCACTAACATGGCTTGTATGTGAAAGGTTTCAAGTATTATTATTATTCAAACAAATAACACTCTATATGCAAGTGGTGGCGCTAAAACTACAGAATTTTTTCAATGAACTCCATTAAAATGCATTTGTTAAAAACCTCATTATTTTATGTATCACTCACCAAATATTAAGTACCGTATAATATCCAATGGGCCATTTTTGTTTTTGAACATATTATTTAAAGTTGTTGATTTTCTGTACTTCTGAAGTTTTTTGAATTCGACATATAACTAATCTGTGTTTTTTTACCAACTGTTTAAAAGAAAACATAATGAAAACAGCGTCAAGTGTTCGAAATGAAATATCTTCAATAATAAAAAGAACATAGTTATCTGGTGTTACATGCAAGGGGGTGATTTTGGGGGTCGAGCCCCCCCCTCCCCTTTGAAATGTGAGAAAAAAAAAAAAGCATCTTTCTGTCCGCTTTTTAGACCCTTAGGACTCATGAAAACATACGTTTTCCGGCGTTCGGCCGGACCCGCTAGCTGTTTCGATCTGACTTGGCGAAATGGAAAATTTTAAAACTACGCCCCCCCCCCCCTTCTTGAAAATTTCTGGCTACGCCCCTGACTAGATTGGAGGTACCAATCGCAGTCTCAATCTTTCACAAACTTATTTCTGTGGCGTCCAAAACATACATATGAAATGAATGAAAGTAATAACCTTCTAGACACAAAAACATAGCTGTAGTATATATACATAGTTATCCGTTGTTACATGGGATAGACAAATCGCGGTCTCTATCTCTCGCAAACTTATTTTTGTGACGTCAAAAAACATACATACATACATGCATTTTCAGAATAAATAAAAGTAACAACCTTCTAGACACAACAACAATCTTTAACCACTAAAAAATTTCAAAGCAATTGGTACAAGTAATTAAAGAGAAAAGCTATTTATTCACAACAATTATAAGAAAAATACCAAGAAATAAAACATAATAAGAAAACGATACACAGATGCATTTCGTGTCCAATAAAGATAGTGCTAACTACAAACTGCTTGGGTCACCACATATGTTTTTACTAACAAATTTCTATAACAATGAAAAAAATTCCAAAGATATTTCCTTCAACGATACACACGATTTGTTCGCTTAACGAATGAGGGCAAGAGAACGCTGATGAGCAAAGGCACAACTAACCTGTTCTACCACGTGTACTATTAATTTCAAGTAAACGATGTCTAGTTACTATATCCGTGCATCGTGTTGCCATTTCAGTATTCCGAAAATTTTTCAAATTTCAAATTATGTAAATTCAAACTTTGAGTGTTGTATAATTTAATGTTACAATCGTGCAAGCAAATTCTAATGATACAAGTCCACCGCAGTTTAGAGCATTTCCTGGAGTCTTGAATTAGGATTGGCTTGTTTATTTGACGCAATGACTTGGCACGTTGGTCGTAGATATGCAGACGCACAGGGAAGAAATCTCGCACGTTACCCCTCCGACTCAACTACAAGGAAACTATGATATTTCAGCTCTTCAAACTGGGCAATGATGTTGTAAAATTCATAAACATATTTATTAGCAAACTCCTAAATGTGATCACCGACCGTGGACATGGTCTTATTTAAATTTTCTTTCGAAAATAATACTAGGTCTCATTTTGGGGGATACCAAGGATGTTTTATTCCCATTTATATAAAACAAATTCACGGAGTAAATAATCAAGAAATTTTCAAATTTATATACAAATTATGAAAGCCGATATCCATTTACTTATAAATAACACGTTTTTATTTAAACAGAAAAGTAATGTAAATATCTAAAAAAAGGCGGGCAAAATCAAATCTAACAAATAATTGGCGTCACGCCTCCTAATAAAATTGACTACGCAAATTTAGGCGTCCTTTCGCAAATGCCACTAATTCAATGGAAATGCTGTTTTTATAAATGTAATGCTAAAACATTTTCCCACGTATACAATGGTTACCGCTTTCATGTCAAGTATGGAATTTTATTTTCGAAATAGCTGACATCAGAAATCATGTTTGTGGTGACGATATGACGTAACAGAACAAAATATTTGCTTCGGGTAATGTCAATATGAAGAATAGAAATTACATGCAAACCCGATTGCACTTTCGAACACCGTTTTGTGACTATTAAAAACTAAATAATTGTAAAATTGAAAAAACAAGAGACAAGTGTTCAACAAGAACACTTAAGTCTACACAATCCATGAAAAGTTTTGATCGAACAGCCATAATAACATATACATCGCAACTTATTTTTAAAATGCTCTCTCGGGTCAACAACAAAATGTCTATTCTAAAAGTATGTTCTGTATTCTAAAACTTTTGTGTAGTGGCATTCTCATCCACCAAACTTTTTTCTCATAATTTTTTTTACTTAAGCTGATATTATCGATGTCGTCTCAACCTCCATATACCGACACCCACATATGTACTGTACATATACATTATACAGGGTGTCCATAAAGTCCCTTTACAATTTCATCGTTTTATTTTATTAGAGTAAGTTCTCAATATATCTTAACCAGGTTTGTTGTTTTTTAATCAGTTAAATATTGTTCAAGTATCTTTCCTTTATTTAATACATCTGTGAAATTCAAAACAAAATATGGTATCGATAAATTCCCTTTGCAATTAATTTTTTTTTTAAACTTCAGGAACACCCTATACATCATATACCCGGCGTAATCATCAAGTAGTGCAATCCATCAATAAGGGTTATTTTAATATTATAATTCAATTAGTATTATAGTCCTACAGGAAGCAATGCAAATACATGACTTCCGAAAACGCTGTCAACGCACGTTTATAATAAGGAAATTGATTGAAATAACTCTTTACAGAAGCTAGTTGTTTAGATGGCGTCCCAATATGCCCTTTACGAAGGCGACCATTCGAATGTCGATTGTTTAAGTTTTAAAATTGCAAATGGAATTTATCGATACCATATATTACTTTGGCCCTCACAGATGATTTTAAATGAAGTAAATATACTTATACAATTACAGATTAACAATCAACAAACCTGGTTAAGATATATTGAGAACTGACTTCACAACAAAATTGCAATTGTAAAGAGAATTTATAGACACCCTGTATATTGATTCTTTCTATACGATTAACAGACTAAAACTTACTATCCTTGAAATATTTTCATTCGGGTACATTGTCTAAATTATGTTGAGACATTAAACTACAGAAAATACAGTTTAAAGAATATGCGGCATCAGAACTTTCTAAATAAAAATCGCAAAAAATAAAAATCGCATTTTTGAACTCATGTTCAGTACCTCAGACAACTCGTAGCTCTTTAATCATTCAAAATTTGGCCAATAACTCAGACATAAACAAGGAAATCCTGAAACATATATTACTGCGAGCATTGACAAAAATACCACATTACGATTCACATACTCAAACTTCGCCAACCTGGAAACGTTTCCATTTCATGACATAAAACTGCAGCAAATGCTTGTCTGTAATACATGGGTTCAATGTAGGCATTCGCACAAAAAAGAAAAATCTCTAATAATGTCCAGTACTACAGACAACACTTCAATCATTCAAAATTTGGCCTTTCACTCAGATATAAACATGGAAATCCCGGAACATATTCTAAAAAGAGTTTCCTCTATTTAAACTGATATTCACTGAATAATTATCAACGTGGCTACTTTGCTGTACAACATGACATTTAACTGAAATGCAAAAATTGACTATTCGTTTTGGTATTGGTTGGAAATATTAATATTACTAAAAGATTCGAAATGGAACATCACGTCAGTTAACTAGCAGTAACACATGTGCTGCATATTTAAATGCTACAAACGTAATTCAAATTAGGTTCAATTAAGGCTATAACTTTTCGTTTCAATTAATTATAATAAACTAATGTACATTATGTGCCAACTAATATGATCTAATCATCAAAAGTACCTTCGTTTGTACGCGTGTTATAAATAATTTTACATGTAAGATTACGTATTGAAGATAAGAACGTGGTGTTTTGATATTTGATCGAACGTAAATTAAGGACTGATTCCACTAGCTTCATGAACAAAGGAGCCTAATGCTAAAACTGCCAAGTCCATTCATCTGAAACAAATAACTGGCTAACTAATCCCATGCAAGACATGGAATTGGTAACCGGACGAGATGCCGTGGTTTGCCATGTGAATAAGCTGTCTCATAATCGCCTTTCCTCTCCCCCGGGATAAATATGTAAATTCTATCATGTCGCATGGTCATGGGGTATTCAGAAATCAGCGAAATTTAGTGGTCGCCTAGACGGACATGGAAAATCTATTTTTATCTATCTTTACTCACAGGAAATTCAAAATTATTGGGACAGTGATTGCGTTTTTCATCCTACCAACAACAACAAAAACAATCATATAAACCAGCGGTTCTCAAACGATGCGGAGCGCCCCACAAGAGAGCGCAGGCAATTTTTTGAATGGGCGTGAAGGGGCGTGGATTTGATCTTGCCGCATTATTTTGTATATATACGTTCCATCCACGTATTTTCAACATTTATTTTTTGATTGAAAAATACTTACGCTTTGCTATCTGTTATTTGTAGCTTATTGTTAGTTAGTTATTTTAGAGATGGGCACGAGCCACGAGACTTGACAAATTATAAAAAAGGCTTGAAAAGTTTAAGAATTGCGGGTATAAACGATTAACAGGTAACTTCGTGTCACAATATTATATGTGCATTATTTCTGTTTGATTTGCATTTTGCCTATTACGTAACCAATCAATAATTAATATTGAATGTTATTACAAACGTACCAACGGACAGAAAATGCACGTTTCAACTTAGTATGGAACAAATAATCAAAAAAATCCTCGCCTATTTTGAGATCATTGACGTAAACAATATTACGAATATAGGTGATTGATTGATTAGGTTTATGCAACAGAAATGGAAAATTACGGGGTATTTATGAGACCACTGTAGCATACAACTCAAACTAAGCAACTAGTATAATTTACTGAATAGTGAGTCTTTTACTACTAATTGCCACTGAAGCATTGTTTTTTTGTCCATTCAAAACTCAGAATAAACTAACAAAAAGTTGAGCAAAGTTTCACAACTTCCTTCCATAAATTGATAACTTCAGTAAAGAACTCACTTCTATCCGGGTATAACATATGATGAAGGAAAAATGTCGCGTTCTCAAGATATTCTCAAGTGTCTGTAATAATCTATTATTATTTCTATGATTGAAAATAACTATTTATAACTGTGTTAACAGCA